CACAGCTCCAGCAAACAGATTCCTTCACGAATTAAATACACGTGTCAATCGACACACAACCAAAAATCATATTTTTGGTTCACGGGCGTTACACATGTCATGAATCCATGGACGTCCCATTATTGCATTATAAGCTGATGCGCAATCCACTACCTGGAATTTGGTTTGTCGGTTGACACTTCCTGCGTATACAAGCAGTGTTACTTCCCCAACGGTCTGTTTCACCTCACCGCTGAACCCTATCAATGGCGTAGACTTTCGAGTCAGCTCTTCTTCCTTTAGGCCTAACCCTTTAAAAGCTTTCATGTAAAGGATGTTTGTTGAACTCCCATTGTCGATTAGTGTCTTTTTCATCAAGCAATTAGCGATTGTTAAGGATATGACTAACATGTCATGATGGGGACCTAGAGCACCGATGCTTTCATCTGTCGTGAAGTTGATTGAACATGCTGGTGTAGCATCACTTGTGACCTCGCTATCTGCTTTGTGATGTCTAGCAGTTCTCGTGTTCTTCTTAGCTGCTGAGTACGATACTCCGCTAACTTATGAACCTCCAGTGATCACGTTGATAGTTCTGTCATGCCTAAGAGGTGAAGCAGGAGCAGACTTGGGCGGAGCTTCGTCACCATCTCTCTTGTCGATTCTCCTCCTACTTCATTCAGACAAAAATTCTCTCAAGTGATCCTGTTTTAGCAGCTCGTTTACCTCCATCCTTAACGTGATGCAATCTTTTGTTCGATGACCATGGTCATCGTGAAATTCACACCACTTTGACGTATCACGTTTATCACTTGACAACTTCATTTTTTTGAGGCCATCTTACCGCTGCCCCCATCTGCCTCAATGCACCTATCAACTCTGTATGCGAAATTGATAGGTTGCTGATGTCCGGCCATGTTGATGATGAACGCTTCTCACATTCACACTCGTTGGTCGGTGACTGCCTCTGTTATCGCTTCTGCTACCAGTTTTATCACTGCGAGGTCTCTTGTAGGGTGTATCGTCCCTGTTGGTTCTTTCACTCCTTGTCTGGCGTGACTCATCTCATGGGGAGCGTCGATAATAATAAGCAGGATCTTGTTCCCACTTGATTTGCGCCCATGCTCTTGAGAGCACGTCTTTCATGGTTTTGCACTGATAGTTTGTCAGTTCTTTGTACAGGTCACCATCTGGTAGTAGACCTCGTTTAAATGCCGATATGGCAGTAGACGTGACACAACTCGGGATGGATACTTTTTCCTTGTTGAAAGGTGCCACATAACTGCACAGTGGTTCGCCTTCCTTCTGGATCACCTCATAGAGGTTGTCTGCTGTCTTCTCAAGGTTCCTGCTACGTATAAATTTTTCAATAAAACGATCAGTTAGTGAAGCAAAGGAATCTATTGACCCGTTGGGTAGGTTTGTAAACCACTGGAGCACAGGTCCCATGAGACTTGAAGCAAACCTTTTACACATGTTGGCTTCCCTGTACTCTCTTGCGATTGCAGTGGTAAACATTCGTTGTTTGTATTGTGTGATGTGATTATCAGGGTCTATCATTTCGTTAAACATCATCATCGAGGGAAACGAAAATCTCTTTGGCATCTCTACAAGCACGATCTCATCTGTGAATGGAGTATCCGCGTAGCAGTTAGGTGCGCTCTTTGTTATTGGTGGTGCAACACCAAGAAGTCGTTTAATCATCGCTTCCATCTCTTCGAGACGTCTGACGATCAGGTGTGGATCTCCTGTTGACCGTGTTGTTGCTGCTTCACTAGGGTGAAGTAAGGATAAGATAACTTGCTCCCGAACCTCACCTCTAACCACATCAGTTGTAGATGTACCAGCTCCTATTGTTGCACCGTCCTTGCACCCGCAACAGGTGTAGTTCCATCTAGCGACCGCATCGGATCGACACGTCTTTGGAATCAGTTTTGAGCTTCGAACTCGTTGTCTGTTTCTGCAGCGAGTAGCTTTCATGTCTGCAGCTTCCAAAGTAGAGTTCTCTACTTCGACCAACGCTAGTTGTTCTTGAGTCTGCTTCATCTGGGAGGTGAGCTCCACCAGTTGGGTAGCAGAATCTTGAGTGTTATTGCCTCCTGTGGGTATCACGTTTTCACCTTCGCTTACCATGTCTCACGTAGTTAAATCTTCCCCTCTCTCTAGCGCCAATTGTTTCGACAAAATTTAACCAGGTTCGCAAGTACACAGATCTACGGAGTGATAAAGAGAGGTATAGTTTTATTAATCAACGAAGTAGGCTTGTAGCCGAATAGTATTACAACGTCTAGAGGTCTAAAGCGTTATAAAGAACTTCGTTGGACACAGAAAACAAGACTAGATCTCTGGTTGCTATCTCAGGGATGCTGTGAAGATGTAGCTCTTCGAGTTTTCTCCGTGTTTTTCTGATCATCCCCTCCTCTATTCGACGTCTCCCTATATATAGAACTTCCTCAATTCCGTTTTTGGACTAGGATTCGACTTGACGTGCAAGCTTATCTCCTTAATAATCAAGATTCTTGATATACTTGAATCATATTATGAGGTCTAGATAATGACAAACCTAATAATACCGGATATTGCAAAATCTCTACAAGTCTATCTTGAAAGTCATGTATTATTTTATATCAAATAAGGTTAACTAACTTTGTAACGACGTCGTAACGACGTTATTGACTTGATGACAACGTGGTAACGATGCCTTACTCGTTACTGACAAGTCATTTCTTCATTTTACATGACATACATGACGTATTGCAGGTATTAGCAGGTTATTACCTCGTTTAGCATGTCNTAGANGACGTGTAGTCAGGTATTAGCANGTTATTACATGACTTTATCTTGCGTAGACAATCCCTCGTCAGGTATCAGTAAGTTATTACTTTGGTTTACCTGACGTAGACGATGTATTGTCAGGTATAAGCAAGTTCTGACCTCGTTCTACCTGTGGTAGATGATGTATCATCAGGTAAAGGCAAGCCATGACCTCGTTTTACCTGACGTAGATGATGTATTGTCAGGTAAAGGCAAGTTAGGACCTTGCTTTACCTGACATAGATGATGTATTGGCAATATCTGGCTTGGTTATGACAAGTCATTATCTCGTTTTACCTGACATAGACGACGCATTGTCAGGTAGTTGCATGTCATCAACTTATTAGACCTGGCCGAAATAGTGTAGAGCCAAGTCTAATGTTCTAACCAGCACTAACCAATGCATACCAAGTAGTGAATTTATTTTTCCCAACATAACTCTAGCTATTACAGGAGGCTGCATATTGTTCTACAGACCACGGATTGAGCCAGTCTAAGTTTGACATATTTGCGAATACGTTGTAGTTATTTTTGGACTCTAGTGATTTTTTTTTATAGAAATGGTGTATACCATAAGGTTGAAGAAACAAATCTCGTCAATAATCTGTGTTTCGGTTACTTTTTTATTCTTGTTTATCTAGTCTCATGGTTTCTATAAGTGTTTACAGCCGTGCTACGTTAATTTGCACGAGTTATGAGGAATTTCAAGCCAACGTAAGGAGGCGTCTTGCATGTTAGAAAGTAGTAACACTTGTTGTAAGGTGACTAATACAGTTACAGTGTTTTTTTTTTTGATAATAAATACAGTTACAATGAAAACATGTAATTCTTCATGAACTCTTTATCGTCTAGCTAGTCGCCACCTAGAAATCAGAAAGAGGAAAATATATCAATCTAAAAGTTAAAAATACATTTCAGAAAAAATAAGTCAAAGCTAGGTGAAAAATAAGGATGGT